CCCCGCGGCCCCCCCCCCGGGGCCCCCGGCCCGCCCGCCTCTCGGTGCGGCGGCTGGCTTTTCCTGGCTTCTGCTTCCGTCGCTTAAGAGGAAGTTTTCTTTGAAAACTTTTATTCTCGGACCGTCCGGGTCCGTGCCAGCTTCCCTTCAGTCAGCAAAGGAGGTAGTCGAGTACTGGGGTGACTGTTAAAACACCTGATGCTGGACTCCTCCTTTCTGTCTTTCTAGGGAAAAGAAACAGCTGTACGTTCACTTTGAAAATCCGTTTTTGGCATAGCTAGAAATAACTTTAAACTGTTAAATTGTGACTGGTTCCCTAAACGGTTTTGGGGTTTTATACTGCAGCAGAGTGGAATCTGAAATGTTTTATATAGTTTATTTACAAGTATGCATGTCTTACTGTTGTCTTTTTTGTGGTGATTGTAGGTATTTTAAAAATAAAATGCTCTAAATCTGACGATTCGACCATAGTGCATGTAATGAATTATACTATTTAAATTGTCACAGCTAGTCCTCTTTTTCATCTGTGTGTTTTGTTTTGTTTTTTTTTTGGGGGGGGGTGTTTGTTTGTTTGTTTGTTTCATTTTATTGCGTTTCTTCAGCAACAGGTGGATTTGTAACTAATCCTCTGTGCAGTGAAAAGGAAAGTCTGAAACCCCATTTGTTATTCTGTGGAACTTCTGTTAGGTGTTTTCTTGTTTGTTTTGATCCTTTAATTAATTAAGGCGTGGGTCTGTGTCTTCTGAAGAAAGTAATGTTCCTTAACGATAAATTAACATCAGGAACTTAAAAGGAAGCTGAATATTCTGACCCGTCCTAGGTATGTTAATGCTGACTTAAAATGCTTTGTATGACCTATATATGTTTGAAATAGAGTTTGTCTGAGATAACACCTGCCTGAGGTAACAACGTCTGCTGCATCTTTCGGAAACCTCGTTTCTGTGTCCCTGTCCGTTCTCAGATGTTGGGCTTCTAAGATGCAATTATCATTCTTGAAAAGTCTTTTAGACTTGAATATCAACAACTTAGTTTGTATTGCTGTAACTTTATTTATTTGTATGTATCTGTCTGTTTATGAAACTTATGTGGCCTTTAGGGAAACAGATTTTTGTAAAGTTCAGCATGAGAACAAGTATGTTAGAATGGTTGAATAAATAAGAGATCTTATTTTTAAGATCTTATAACAGTTTACTGCAGTTAGAAGAAAACTTCTGTAGTGTGGTGTTCTGTTTTTCTTTCTGCCTCACACCAGGCAACTTGCTTTGCTTGGAAGAGGATGATTTCTGTTTAAGTGAATAGGAACTTCTTAAAAGAAGAGAACTTGTACTAGCCAAACCTTCCTCTCTCTGGACTACAGACTCCTTGCCGTGCTAAAACGGATAGGGAATATTTACAGTAAAGCTAATACAGTAACTATTGCCTGTCTCTCTGTTCTGTTCTTCTAGTGGCATTTCAGTGGACAACTCCAAATTTGATGGGCCTCTGTTACAGATTTTATTTATGAACAATGTAATTTCTAAGTAAGTAGTTACCAAGAAAAGCAGTGCTGACAAGAAATGGGACACTTTTTTTGTTTGTTTGGATATGTTAATGTTTGCCCAAAGGATGGATGGATATATGTTTTATTCAATAACATAAACTTGTTAAGCTTGAAGGGGAGAAAGGATAATGAGCAATATGACAGAAGGTTGGTTGCTTTCATTAGCAATATCTGTTTTTGTCATGAAGTGAAGTGTGACTTCCAGGAGCTTGGAGTCTCAATAGCAGTTTGAGGATCTAAGTGTTGTGAGCAAATATAGTAAATTAAATTTTCCCTGCCTCTGAGTTGATTTTTTGCCACGCTAATATAAGGGTGCTTTCTAACATAGATTGCATTGATGTTGGAGGGGGTTGGGAGGAGGACAGGAGAGAAGTTGCCTGCCCCTTTTCTAAGTTCTTAAGAAGTAGTAAATGGTAAATGCTCAAAAAAAAGACATCTGGCATATGTTTCAATCGTGCTCATGTCTTCATCTCTGTATACTTCTTCACTCTGTTACAGGCAGTATCATCAAGAAATTGAAGATTTTGTTTTTAATTTAGTTCAGAAATATGAAGAGCAGAAGAGAGGTGAACAAGAAAAAACACACTTCAATGTTAAGCCACAGGTACTTTAAAACTCAAATTGTTATTAGGTGCTCCTTCTCTTGCATCTTTATAGTGGGAATATTGAAATACTACACTGCTAAATAGCTGAATTCTAGATGTTTTGTCCTGTTTAATTGCAAATCAAGTAACTATCAAACAAATGCTGTATAACTATTTGTTCCAAAAATAGAGGACCAGGACAAAGAAAATATCCTTTCTGCCCATGAAAATGCTTCTTTAAAATAGTTCCTAGTGAAATTTGTGTAAAAGCAAATAATAATAGTAATAAGTTGGTTTAAATAATCGAGGAGAGACCTTAAGGTACAAACTGAACGTATCCTCTTCTGATTGTATTTGGCCCAACTTTGAGTATATATGAGAGCATAGATGAACAACAGAATCTGGAAATTTCCACTTCCTTCTTAGTTTAGCATTTTGAGTTTTACTTAACATTCACTTTTTAGCATTCACTTTGAATAAAAGGGTGAAATGGCACCTTTCTCTCCATCTTTCTCTTAGCTTTTGAGGTAAGAGTAAAGATGTTCTTATGCAGCGTATTTTGCATCAAAGAAAACATTAGAAATGAGCTGTGTCATACTTTGGACTATGGAAAGCATTATGACTACTGAAGACATCTCATTCCTACGGTTTAACTACTGTTTCATGAAAGAATAGAAGCTGTATTTCGTGTTCTGTGCCTTTTACATACTTTAGTAACTTAGGAGCTTTTCTTTTTAATGTTATTTTAAATTAATTATTTGCATTTTTGCTTTTCATGTCAGCCCTCCAGTGTTCTTTTGGAAGAGGACTGTAAAACAGCAAGCTCGAATTCTGTTAAAAAAATTAAAGAAGCTTTTAGTGTAAGTTTTTGACTATATACTCTTCAATGGTAGGTCTGATTCTTCATTCTAAATATTCAATATACACTGCCATTAAAATAAGATCTTGTTAAATTTCATTTATCAGTGTAATAGCAGTTAAGTTCAGCATGTTTTGGCTACATCAGTGGAAAAAATACTTATTTGTACAGGTGTGGGTGTGTATTATTTGTAAATTCTTACAGAGCGGGGGAAAAAAACCTGGAAGTATTTCAAGCAGTGTGAATTTATAGCAATGCTACCAATCTGACCTAAATACTGACACATTTCTGACAATTTTCTGACTTTTTTTCTACAGGTTGTAGGAAGTGTTCTGTATTTTACCAATTTTTGTCTCGATAAACTGGGACAGCCTATATTAAATGAGAATCCACAGCTGACAGAAGGATGGGAAATACCTAAGTATCCTGTTTACTAAAACAAGGGGTTTTTTTCCGTTTGTCAAATCCAAAGAATGCCAGTCGGTAAATTGAACTCAAATTCTGTCCAGTATCTTGTACATTTCTGTCAAGAGCATATCAGTCGTTACAGATGAAATGTTTTAATGAGTTGTTAGTGGCTTTTTTACTCAAAACATACCTAAGTCTTTTGATATGATTGGCTCACTGATTGTTAGAAGGCTCATGCTTGGGAAGAGTGAATGCCTTATCGCCATAAACACACCTTGTGACTTCAGGAATTTCCTGGGCCAGTCTGTAATCAGGTTTGGAATGACAGCTCATTCCAGATATGAACAAGCATTCTCCCTCTATAAAATCTGCTGTTCGGGAGAAGAAAAGGGCTTG